CACCTGCTGGCCCTAAGATTTCAAAATTTTTTTGCACCAAAATTAACTTGTAATTTAATTCATTTTCCATGAGTTAAAAAAAAATTGCCAGAGGGTGCATGCAATTGCCTCAGTCAGAGAGAGAGAAAGCACCCCCCTTGGGGAATGATTATGCTGCTTCATCTTCCATTTCTCCTGCCTGGGGGGGTTTTGGACTTGCATGCACACGCTCCAGGCACACATATTCAAGCTTCTGGCTCCAGAACTGCATAGTCGGTCATGTGGGATCCACCAGGCCCCTTCCATGAACTTTTGAAGTACCTGTGTGTGTGTGTGTGTGTGTGTGCGCACGCACGCGCGTGTGTATACAAAACATTTGTAGTGCTTAAACGCCTCTCCCCTCTGGGTCGGGGTCTTCGTTAGGGACTGACAGGGCAGGCAGAGTTTTCCTCACTGCCACCTCTCTGCAACCATGCAGGACAGCAAATCCCTTTCGCTTTTGCTTTTCACTCTCTGAGCCCCCTTCAGCCCTCTTCTCCTTGGTAGAGCAAGCGCAGTAGTGATCAGACACCTCCCAGCCAGTGTGTGTTGTGCTACTGCGGACAGGACTTGAGAGCGCAGATACCAGACACGGCCCGTCAAGCCCAATCCAGTGTGCACAGGAAAGGGAGAATGCTCACTGGGCGGCCGGGGCAAATGCACACAGGAACAACTAACTCTTAAGATAGCCAGCATGGGGTCCGGCAGGTGGTGTGGTGGTTAAGGACACTGGACTCCCACATGGCTGACAGCGGTTCGAGTCCTGGACCTGGCAGCTTGCTTTCTCACTCTCTCTCTCCTCGCTCACTCTGTCTCTCCCTGGTCAAATTAAAATAAATAAATAAAGTTAAATAAAATAATTAAAAAAAAAAGATAGCCAGCATGTAACACACTCTTACAGCTAAGCAATTTAAAATACCCCTTAAACCTAACCAAGTGATTATGGTGAGATGGAAAGACAATAAACTGACAATCAGGAATTTCTAGTCTAAATTTAACTCTTCTTTTCACACACACACACACACACACACACACACACAGAGGGCACGTGCCAGAGAATGTAATAAAAGGAGAAAGAGCCTCCCAGTGGGGTGTGTTCACGGCAATCCCCTTTCCTCCAGCTCCCATCCTGTTGGGATTCCATGTGCCCGGTGTGTTTTCTAAGCCACTGGGGTGGGATCTGAACTGTGGCTGGCCATGTGGGATCCTGCTTCCGCTACACAGCAACTGCCCGTTGTGTTAGGGGGCTGGCCCTAAATTTGCCTCTTCCACATGGGTGATTTTAAACACATGTTTTTCTCTCTCTGGGCCTGTAAAATCAGGAGGGTTGAATTTAATTTTCTCCAAGGTCCCCCTGGCTCCTAACATGGTGAGAGTCATGAAGCCTGAACTTCCCAAAGCTCACCAGTGCCTCTGACCCGGGCTCGGTGTGACAGAGCTGAGGACCCAGGGCCAGGCAGGGATGGCTGGTGAGTGACTTCGCCAACGGGGTGTGATGTTTGGGGTTGATGGCTGCACCAGATCTACCAGAAACTGACAGCCTGAGGGCTCCGTCGTCACGTCAGGCTCGCTGATCCTTTGCTGACAGTCCATGGCTTGCTAAAGGGGTTTGAAACCCGAGGTTTCACCCTGCGACTCCCTGCACCGCTTTTCTCTCAAACAACCGCCATGGCTCTGTCCACCCAGCCGCCTCTAGAGCTTCTTCTGCGTGCGCGTACTAACTCCGGCCACCAGAGGGCACTCTTGCGATGTGGAGCCCAATCGTTCTCCGTGTGTCGGGGCGTCTGGGCCTCATCTTTGCCAGAACATCTGGATTTACTGAAGCTACTCCCCACTTCAGTGGTTCTCATCTAGGGGGCATATGAAAACCCAGGGGACATTTCACAATGTCTGGAGACATTTCTGGTTGTCACAATTGGTTCTGGTGGAGTGCTACTAGTGCCTACTGGGTGGAGGCCCCCAGTGCTGCCAAAGATCCGGGAATGCATAGACATCTCAGCGCCGAATCTGGCACTGGGAGTGGGAATAGCGCAGTCTGCAAGAGCGTCCGAAGCGCTCCAATCTGTTACCCAAACGCAGGGCCACCCCGGCGTTTCCTGCACTCAGCTTAAGCTTTTAGTCTCCCACACTCCTCCCTCCACGTGTGGGGAAGACCTCAGGACGTGAACCCAGGACCTGTTCCTGTGGGTCCGGTTACATTCCCACTGCTCACCGTCTGGCTACCCCAAGGACCTTCTGTGACACTGACATGAGTAAGGAGGCACAGGGGACGCCTTGGACACTGTGTGTCCTGCCCCTCAATCCAGGCTGAGGTGTGCCTTTCCATCTATCCCAAGGAATATTCTATGTAAGACTTTTTTTTTTTTTAATGTTAGATGGTTCATATACAAGACAGAACACTACCAAAGGGGCCTGGCTGTGCAACACTTCTTTTCCTCCAACTCTCTTTCCACCCAACCAGGATCCTGAGCATGTCCACATGTCTGGCATGCTAAACAACTGGGGCTGGGACTCGAACCCTGGTCAGCCATCTGGAATCTGACTTCCTTTGCACAGCACTTAACTGCTGTTCTATGGGGCTGGCCCCCAAAGGGAAATTTTAGGCTGGTGACCTCACCGTATTTTTTTTATTCTCTGAAATGTGGGAGTGACAGTCACTACACTATTGAGGAGGAGGTAAGGGCAGACAGAGGGCACATGAGGATCCCCATTATGGAGAACACCTTGTCTCTGAGGCTGTCCTCTCTGAAGAGGGCTCGAGCTGTGACAGCACCATCCAGCTCTTCACTGGAGCAGACAACACTAGCTCTTTGTCTCCCCAAACTGGGCAGGGCGATGGGAAAGCCCCTAGGGTTCATCCTTCCTGCAGGGCTGGGACAGGCCTGTGGCTTAGGGGTAAGTGGGAAGCAGACTTCACTGTAGCCCTGGGAACTTTAGGAAGGAAGACTCTGGGTCCCCCTCTTTTAGCATCTGGGTTGAGGGAGGGAGACTGAGATTAAGAAGGCCCTAGTGGGGCCGGCAAGTGGCGTGGTGAAAGCGCTGGATTCCTACATAGCCGACTGTGGTTCGAGTCCCGGACCGTGTGGCTTGCTTTCTCACTTTCTCTCTCTCTCTCTCTCTCTCACTCTGTCCCTCTCTGGTCAAATTGAAATAAACAAATGAACAAATAAATAAATAAAGTTAAAAAAAAAAAAGAAGGCCCTCTTTCCTGGCCTATGACAGGGGTATTTCGACCTTGGGCAATGGTGTACAGGCTGAGGACCCTCTGCAGGCCTCTCTGCCCAGCTTCGTAGGGATAGCAAGGCTGCAGGAGCAATGCTGCAGGGTTTCCCAGGGGAATACGCGCCTAGGCCTTGCTCCGTGGGCACGATACACAGTGGGCAAGGGACCCTCCTTGCCTTCGTACTCATGCTGTCACGGGGCATACGTGGAGGGGCCAGTGGGTAGTGAGAACGTAACTGGATCAACAGGGAAAGGTCCTGGGTTCACGTTCCAAGGTCTCTCCTTACTTTCCAGGCAAACTGGTGCCTAAGATCTGGGCCCACTAGGCTGGGGGTGGATCGTGGCATGAAGACCCAGTGGAGGTAACTCTTGCTCTCCCTCGTGGAAAAAAAAATAAGTATTGAGAGAGAGAGAGAGAGAGAGGACATGGAGACGAATCCCAAACATGTAACTGGCAGCCTAGAGATAGGAGGGCCTTGTTTCTCCACTTCCTCGGCTCCTGGAGCACCCGGGGCTGGTCGCCCTTGGTTGCACGCAAGACCCACCTCTCACTCTCCTTCCACACCCCAGCTGCCTGGTGCATCAGGTCTGTTCTCCTTGTCACTGTAGGGCCTGGGGAGCAGAAGGAGGGGACCCCTGCCAATGCTTCCTGTTCACCCGACCCTTTGGGGTTCAGCTCTGAGGCCCTCTGCAGGGACCCAAGGGGTCGTCCTGCTCTGGCTGAAGTCCTGTCCTTGCAGCTGGTTTCCCACATTGTACCCAGGAGCTCCCCCGACCCTGGCTTCCTCCAGCCATTTTCTCTGGGAGGGTGGCAGGGGAGCAGGCTGGCCAGGCTGACGTCTACCTCACCTGCAGGTCTCAGGTCCTCTGGGGCGAACTCCCCTGCCCTGGGCTTCCTGTGGGGTGGTACTTAGCTCCACCCCAGATCTGAAGGGGGAGAGCAGGGCAGCAAGACAGCACCCACTGCAGGCAAGTGGCCAGCCCAGACAGCAGTTTGCATGAGCATTTTATTCGCGGTCCGCAGTGGGGTCTTACAGAGACAAGGGGCCAGTCCCCGCACCTCACCTGCCTGGATCTCGGAGAAATGGAGATTAGAGTGCTTGTATGGGACAGGGGTTTCTGGGTCTCAGAAATCAGAGAGATGGGAGAGAGGCGCGTGGGGGGCGGGGGAGAGGATCTGGACACCTTGGATTAGGGAGGCAGGACAGGGAAGAGCGACTTCCCTGAGACTCCTAGCCCACAGCCAGCCTGGACCCTTAATGCCCCCTCGTGCTGGCACGTACAGGGGGTTCCAATGATGGGAACTGGATTCTCATCTCTCTCAGAGAAAGTCAAGTTTAAAAATGTCTCCTTAGGGGCCAGCAAGTACCATGGTGGTTAGGGCACTGGACTCTCACATGGCTGACCATGGTTCAAGTCCTGGGCTTGGAGGCTTGCTTTCTCTCTTTGTCTTTGGTCAAATTAAAAATAAAAATAATAAATAAATAAAATTAAATAATTGAAAAAAGTCTCCTTAGTCTGATCAGCAGCTTGTGGCGGAGGGGGGGACTCTGCCCCAGCATCTCCACCCCTACTTGCTCCTTTTCTGCGATGCCCCCCACCCCCACCTCGGATCCAAGTCTACCTCCTCAAATCCTCCTGCAATTTCTGCCTGTGTCCGCCAGGGGAGGGTGAAAAACGAGTTTCAAACAGGCAAGAGGGGAGATGGAGTTTGAGGGGACACCCCACCACACCAGCCGGCTTCACATCTTCCTCCCTTGTTAAGGAGGGTCCAAGGGCCACACTGCTTTGAAGTTCTCCAGACGGGGGGACGCAGGGCTTTCCTCCCCAGTTTTGAGTCCGTGGGTCTCTGAGGAGAAGCCCCCCCTGGGACCCAGGAACACCTTACTTCCCACCATGGGGTCAGGCTTCAGCTGCAGCCCTTCAGATCTGGGGGGCAGGAGCCAAAGCCTCTCAACCGTACCCTGTCCCAGCCCTGCCAAAAACGGGAGCCCTGGGAAATGCTGGGCCCCTGAGAGGCAGCCCGCTGCTGGGAGCAGGGTATCAGGCTTGGAGGCCTCTGGGAGCTGCGGCTCTGCGGGCACAGCAGGCAAGAAGGGTCCTGAGAGGCGGGGCCAGTGGGAGGGGAGGTGGGCGGGCAGCGGAGGGGCGAAGGAGGTCAAACTGGGCAGCTCACCCTGGAGGCTCCCAAAGTGGCAGCCAGGGCTGAGCCCGCTGGAGCCTGGGGCAGAAACGAGTCCTAGAGAAAGGAGACAGGAAGACAGAGAGGGGGTCAGGAGGGTGCCCACCTCCCCAGGATGGTCTGGTCCCTTGCTCCACCTCCCTTTCTCTTTTGCTCTTTTAGGGTCTCATCATAAACACTGGGAAAGCCCTCGGAGCCCTCCCCAGCCTAGGCCAGAGCCGCGTGCTGCCCTCTCATCACTCCCCTTACCCGTACCCTCCAGGGCACTTAGCTCATTAGAATCCGTCTAGTCATTCTCGGGCTTACGTAGTTCATGTCTGGGTCTCCAGCTCCGCGGTGCAGAACTGTGTAGGGTTTATTGTTCTGAGTCCAGCCCAGCCTGGCACATATTAATGCTCAATAAAAGCATGTTGGTGGCGCAGCACGGAAATGCAATGCTCTGTGAGGCTGACCCTCATAGGAAGGTTGTAGGTTCATATTCAGAGACCTCCCTGGTAAGGGGTAGGAGGAACCCACACAGGGCTGAGGCTTGGGGTGGACCAGTGTCAAGACCCCATTGGGGTTGCAGTCTGTCTGTCTCTTTCTATCTCTCATTCAAGGAAGAAGTAAACAAACTTTTAAGAAAACAATACTAAATATATTAAATGAATGGATGAATAACTTTTTTTTTGCTATAACTCAATAAATCTATTCTTCATTCTCTCAGCCCCTGAAGCAACAGATGGGCTGGGCAAGGAACTGGTTGTGTGACCTTGAACTTGTCCTGTAAGTTTGCAAGCCTGTTTCTTTTCTGGGGTTCTTTCTTTCTTTTCTTTTCTTTTCTTTTTTTTTTCTTTTTGAGAGATTTTCTGTTATGGAGCGCCTGCACACGCCTGAGACACAGAGAGAGACAGGAAATGAAAAATCACCCCCTTCTCCTCCATTCTCCTCCATTCTCTGTGAGATTTTGAGTACGTATGCACACATGCTCAGTGTGTCTTTTTTTTTTGGAGAGGTTTTTGCTATAGGGTGCGTGCGCTCGCCAGACAGACAGAGAGTGACAGAGGGACAGAAAGCGAGAAATCACTCCCCAGGGGGGATGGCCATGCTGCAATCCCTTCTCCTCCATTCTCCTCTTGGGATCTTGGGCACGCACGCACATGCACCCAGCGTGAGTTTAAGCCACCGGGTCCGGGACTCGAACCGTGGTCGACTACGTGGGAGTCCAGTGACATAGCCATTATGCTAACTGCTGGTCCCCTGCTCAGTGTGTTTTAAGCCTCCAGGTCAGAGACTTGAACTTCAGTCGACTATGTGGGAGTCCAGTGACATAACCATTACGCCATCTGCTGGTCCTGAGCCTCTGTTTCTCCTCTCCTCTCCTAGCTAAGCTAAAGCGGCATCGTGTGTAAGAAGAACCTGCAGAGTTTGTGGCTGTGAGACTCAGGGAGATGTGGGGTGAGCCCCCGTCTTCTCTGCCAGTCAAGCTCCAGCCCATATCTCTCCTCCTCCAAACAGCCTTCCCTCCTGGGCCAGCTGGTGATGTGGTGGTTAAGATGGTTGGATTCCACATGCCTGACTGTGTGATTTGAGTCCAAGACCTAATGACTTGAAAAACACTCTGAGTGCATGTGCATGTGTGTCCAAAATCTCAAGAGAAAAATGGAGGAGAAGGGACTGTGGTGTGGTCATCTCTCCAGGTAGGGTGCTTTCTTACTTTCTCGCTCCAGAGAGTGCATGTGCCCTCTGGATTTATTTTTTTTAAATATTAAAATTGGGACCAGTGGGTGCCGTGGTGGTTAAGGCACTGGACTCTTACATGGGTGACTGCAATTCGAGTTGGGTGACTGCAGTTCGAGTCCAGGACCTGACAGCTTGCTTTCTCACTTTCTCACTCTGTCTCTTTCTGGTGTGTGCAGGTGCCCTATAGCAAATAAATAAATAAGTATAAGTTAAATAAATAATTCTTTAAAAGTTATTTTAAAATTAATTTAATTTAAATTATTTTAATAATTTTTAAAACTAAAATTAAAATAAATAAATATGTCTTCCCTCCTACAAATCTGCCTTCTATCGCCTCTACAATAAGGACCCCCCAGCCTGCGGTTCTTGGACATGATTATACACAGCCTCACACCATTTTCTGTATTCCAAAAAGCCTAACTATAATTCTGCATTTTTCTCAGCAAGACCACACTATTTATCTAAAAGAGCAAGTATGGGGCCAGTAGGTGGCAATTGTGGTTGGGGCGCTGGACTCCCAATATGGCCAATTGTGGTTCAAGTCCTGGACCTGGCAGCTTGCTTTCTCACTTTCCCTTTCTCTCTCTCTCTCTGTTTCTCTCTGGTCAAATTAAAAATAATTATAACAAATAAAATTAAATAAATAATTCTTTTTTTTATTGAAAAAAAGAGTAAGTACGAAGGTTGGGTAGCACAGTGGTAAAACACCATCCCGTGAGGCTGACCCACAGAGAAGGTTCTGTGTTCGTGTCCCAGTTCCTCTCTGAACACTGAGATCTACACGTGCATGGGCCCATGATCCTGACTTGGCTGAAGCTGGGGGTGGATTGCAGCATCAAGACCCTGTTAGGGATGTCTGTCTCTCCGTCTCTCTCAATATCTATCTCTGTCACTCCTGGAAGAAATAAACTTAGGAAAAACAAAACAAAACAAAACAAAAAACAAGGAAAGCCAGTGGCATGGTGGTTAAAGGCCAACTGAGTAGTTGAGTCCCAGAGTCCCAACGGCTTGAAAAACTTGCCAGGTGCATTCGTGCGAGTCCCAAATCCCGAGAGGAAAATGGAGGGAAAGGGCTTGTGGTGTGGCCATCCCCCCTGGGGGGTGCTTTTGCACTTTTCCTCTCTTTCTCTGTCTCTTTCCAGTAATGGTGCTCACCGTATAGCAAATGACAAATAAATATAAGTGCAGGTATCAGTGTGGGCCTATTGGTGGGGCTCTGGTACACACAAACCAGAAAAACAAAATCCTGGGCTGTCGGCAAAGTCATAATGCATTTCTGCATAGAAAAACATAGAAAAATGCGCCATGACTTTGCCGACGACCTAATCGTTCTTACTCTGTGCACCTAGTTTATGCGATGGGAGCCTTATTTCTGAAGCAAGCTCTATGAAGGGAGGACGTGGTGAGAGCAGTCCTCCAGGAAGAGATGTGCAGACAGCTGTCAGTCTCTCCCTGGGTCCTTGTCCTCTGCCCTGAGTCCCCAGATGAGGTGGAGACATTTCACAGGAAGGCTGTGTCACTGGGGGCTCCCAGCCAGGGCCATGTCTCCCCTCTCAGCTGAGTCCCATATGGCAGGGGTATTTCTTAGAGTCTTTCTGTCACTCTCTGACCTTTTCCTTCCTGGGGCTCAGAGTCCTGGCACTCTTCTGCCTGCATGTGGCTTCCTTGCCTGCCGCCAAGTGCTCTGAGAAAGGGTGGAGGAGAGCCCCCGGCCCAGCCCTTTGGGATCCCGACCCAGAAGGGGCCATGTGGCTGCACTAACCTTTTGGTGACCTGCTCAGTGTCCCTGGGGCCCAGCACAGGCAGCAGGTGTGTGAGCCCAGGGAGGGGAAGGAGGCGTCCGGGAGCTCCCTCCAGCTCTGGCTGTGAGGGCGCACTTCTTCCCCCTCATAGTTTCTCAAAGACAGAAGCTCTGTGCCCAAGGCATTCCAGAGCTGGGAGCGGGCAGCCGGGGTGGAGGAGCGGGGAGGGCTGTTCAGGTGCAGCTTAGCTCCAGGCCCAGCGAGTTCCAGCAGGCCTGGGCGGCCCCACACCCACGGCCTCGGCTGCACTCCCTGGGCAGAATCTGGGTGCCCAGATGAAGGCCGCGGAGGCCCAGGGCCCCTATTCCATGAAACTACCTGAGTGGGCAGGTGGTTCTTGGTCTTCTAAACCAGGACCTGGGTTGGCTGAGTGTCTCTGTAATCATTTTCAGAGGAAATAGGATTTAGTCATCTTTCAGCTCATGGCTGCTGTAAGAGCTGATGTCTACCTGCATTTCCACATGTGCTCCCACTCATCACACACGCCGACACCCTGGTCTTCTCCTAGCTCCTCCTTCCTGCCCCAGGGCTTTTGCACATGCCGTTCTCAGCTCGTCACACTCTCCCCCTCCCTCAGAGCCAAACCGACACCTAGGCATACTTTGGGCTCAGTTCAAATGTCACTTTATCTAAGAAGTCTTCCTCGATGCCCTTAGCACCTGAACTTCTCCTCTACAGCACTTAGTGAAGTTTTAATTACATATCTATTTGTCGGATTTTTTTTTTGAGAGAGAGATATTTGTTATAGAGCACATGTGCTTGGAAGGGAGATAGAGAGAGACAGAGAGACAGAAAGTAAGAAATCACCCCCCAGGAGGATGGCTATACCACAATCCCTTCTCCATTCTCCTTTCAGGATTTTGGGCATGCACACACACACACACACACGCCTGGTGTGAGTTTCAAGTTGCCGGGTCCAGGATTTGAAATGCAGTCGGCCATGTGGGAATCCAGTGCCTTAACCACTACACCACCTGCTGGCCTTCAGATTTTTTTTTTTTTTGGAGAGGTTTTCCCTATAGAGCGTGTGCACTCGCCAGACAGACAGAGACAGAGAGACAGAAAGCGAGAAATCACCCCCCAGGGGGGATGGTCACGCCGCAATTCCTTCTCCTCTCGGGCGGGATCTTGGGCACGCACGCACACGCGCCTGGCGTGAGTTTTAAGCCACTGGGTCCGGGACGCAAACTGCGGTCGACTACGTGGGAGTTCAGCGACATAGCCATTACGCTATCTACTGGTTCCCTCAGATTTTTGTTTTCTAAAAACTTTGCTAGGGACTGTGGCTGGCAGGTGGTATGGTAGTTAAGGGCACTGAACTCCCACACAGCTTACCATGGTTCGAGTCCCGGACTGGAGGCTTGCTTTCTAACTTTCTCTCTGTGTCTCTGTGGTCAAATTAAAATAAATAAATGCATAAAGTTAAATAAAATTATTCTTTAGAAAAAACATTTGCTAGGGACCAGCAGATGGCTTAATGATTATGTTGCTGGACTCCCAAATGGTTGACTGAGGTTCGAGTTCTGGACCCAATGGCTTGAAACTCATGCAGGGCATGTGTGTGTGCATGCCCAAAATCCCAAGAGGAGAAAGGAGGAGAAGGGATTATGGTATGTCCATTCCCCTGTCTCTCTGGTGAGCGTTTGTGTCCTATAGCAAAAATCTCTAAAATAAATAAATAAATACTTGTTAGTGGGTGTGTGAGTTCCCTAGAGAGAAAGAGAAAAAGAGAGAGAGAGAAAGTGAGAAACCACTCCCCAGGAATTGCCACAACACAAATCCTTCTCTTCCATTTTCTTCTCAGCATTTTTGGCATGCACGCACATGCTCAGCATGTTTTAAAAGCCACCAAGTCTGGGACTTGAACTCCACAGTCAGTCATGTGAAATCCAGCTGCCTTAGCCACCATGCCACCAACTTGCTCTGTCAGATTTTTCTTTAATTAAAAAAAAATGTTAGGACCAGCCCATAGTCTAATAGTTATGGGAGCTGCCTTCCGCATAGTAATGTAGTCGAGAGAGAGAGAGAGAGAGAGAGAGAGAGAGAGAGAGAGAGAGAGGGAGGGGGGGGGGGGGGAGAGAGAGAGGCAGTGTGGTGAGGTGAGGAGAAAGTACCTTCTCCTCCATTTCTTCATCCTGTCAGGATTTGGGGCATGCATGTACATGTATCTGGCTTGTTTTCCAAGCCACCGGGGATGAGATTTGAACCGTGATCAGGCATGTGAGATCAGGCTCCCTCAACCACCAGGCTATAGTGCTGGCTCTATTTGTCAGATTATTAATTGAATGTCTGCATTCTTCTTGCCTACAAGCCCTATTAAGGCAGTCTTGCTTATATGGACAGTGCCTGGCACCTTAAATGGGAGGTCATGAGACATCCGGTGAAAGAGGAAGTGAGTGAATGAATGCGTGAATGGGTGAATGAGTAAGGGCACCTTCTCTTCCCACTCTCTCTGGAGTTGAACCTCCTTTTTCACTCCAGGACCCTTGTCTCAGTTCTGGCCCCATCGTCTTCTGCCTAGACTATCTTCCAAAGCCTCCCAATGCCAGTCTCATGTGTCTTCCAGCCTAAACTTACCCACAGCCAAGCAATTTCATAAATGAAAATCCTAACATGCCTTTCCCTCCTGGGTGGCTTCTGCTCCAAGATGAAGCCCAATCCCCTTTGCACGGCTTCTGAGGCCTCTGTGGACAGGACGCTTGTTTGCCTTGCAAACCCCCATCCTTCACTTGGCCTGAGGATCCTGCCCGCAGCCGCACCACTTACTCTCTGACCACCAGTTACTCTCTGACCACCAGTTACCCTCTGACCACCAGCCTTTCAGGCTTGCTACGCATGCTCACAGCTTTTTGCATTATGAATGCTAAAACGCTGTCCTGCACCTGAGATGTTGCCTCCTCAGGAAGGCGCCCACCGCACATCGTGCTTACCTGAGTCTCAGCGCGGTCACTGGCAGTCCTCCCACCTCTGTTCCCCACTAGGCTCTGAGCATCCTAAGGGCCGTCTTTCCTCGTGGAGCTCCCACACCTAGTAAATAGCTGGCGCTCAATGATGGTGGTTCGATGAATGAATGGAAGACGTGGATGTTTGTGTCCTGGCTCATGCTGCACCCCCAGCCCCAGCTGTATACTCAGCCAGGAGGGCCCTCCCTGCTCTGACTCAGAGTCCCTGGACCTGCCCCACCTGAGCCTGAGCACTCACGGGGGACGCTGCTGCTGCTCCCCTTCTTCTCTCCAGGGGCGTCTGGTGGCCCTCGGGAGATCCGTGGTCCAGCCAGCTGCTCCACCATGGCCCGATGAGTGAACAGCATGCTGTGCAGGAGCTGAGGACGGAGGGGCAGGAGGTGTACCACGGGACGGGCTCCCCCTGGCATGTGTTCCTCCAGCATGGTGTTCATAGTGATGCACTCCCCGGCTGCTGGGCGAGTAACCACTGCCACATGCTGCCTGCAGATGCCCTGAGACCCCAGCCCCTTCCAATGGAGTGATGCCTAGCACAGGGTCACCCCTTCTCACAGGGGGTGCTGCTCAACACCACTGACCTCAGGGCACTCAGGGTCTAGGATGTAGGGGAGAAGAACGCTGGAGGCTGATGGGCTCCTGAGGTGGAGAGGACAGTCGCCTCCTGCGCAGAGGGGCAGGGCCTGGTGGAGCAGAGCCCTGCAGATAGGGGCTACCTTCATGCCTACCTCGCTGTGCACGCCCATGGGCACTAAGGCTGGATGACACAGGGCAGAGGTGCCCAGCAGCAGGTGGGGGGACGGTGGCGCCCGCACTTCCCACAGAGGATAGTTGACCACGATGAGCTTGCTGAAGTTGAACTTGTACGTGAATCTCTTGCCTTTGGTCTTGTGCAGGATCCTCTTGTTGTAGTAGTATCTGAGAACCCGAGGGGGAGGACGGAGTTGGCCCAGTGGGCGGGGAGTGGAGTCAGAGACCCAGTCACAGCTCTCTCGGGCCGGCTGTTCCTGGAGAGCCACTGGGCATTTTAGCACATGCAGTGACATTTCCCAAGCCTTGGAGGAGTGGGAATCGGACAGGGGTGCCAGAAACCGCAGCTCTTTTTCCTGCACCCTGCCCTCCCTGGCCCTGTCGGCCGCCTCCTCTCACCTCAGGGCCCGGCTTAGCTTGTCATAATTCATCTGTGGTTTGCATCTCCTCCGGCCCCAGAGGCGGGCCCCCTCGTCTGGATCCTTGATGCCAAACTCTCCGTACTCTCCCTGCGGCCAGGCGATGACATGGCGGAACTCTTCCTTCTGCAGCAGCTCCAGGATGAAGTGCCACAGCTGGATCTGCCGGGAGCCTGGGGACGACTCGGCTTTGTAGGCCCAGTCCGGGAAGGCCAGGCCTGGGGTGGGGAGGGGAGTGTGAGGATCGCCCTGCCGCTCTGGAGGCCCCACCCAGGGCCACCTGCAGGAGTGGGGAGAGACCTGGCTGAGACGCCCACCTGAGATCCAGTAGTTGCCAGAAGGGCCCGGGATGCCCTCGGCCCAGCAGCTGCAGTGCATGGTTCACTCAGAGAGGCTGCGTCTGTGCCGTGGGGGAAACGGTCACCACTGGAGAGGACGGGAAAGGAGGAGGCAGAGGCGATGAGAGAGGAAGGAGGGAGGGAAGGGAAGGAAAGGTGTGGCAGGGAAGAGAGAAAAGGGCAGGGACAAGCCTAGTCAAGGGGAGGAAAGGGAATCAGAGGTGGGCAGTATCCCCACGGCAGGCAGGCCCCAGCCACCTCTGGGAACGTCCTCACTGCTCAGAGGCCGAGTTGGGACTCAGGGCTTGGGGCAGGTAGAGAGCGCTGCAAAGGGTCCAGCGTCCTACCCCTGCTGGGGGATTTACACAGAGAATGAGAGCTCTTCTTAGGGCTTAACAGGATTGTAGTTTTTCCCCAGAGAGGACCAGAGAAAATGTAATTAATCATCCTGGCTTTCCAAACCTGTAGTGGGAGGAGGTGGCATACCCGCACGCTGGCATCTTAGGAGCGCTCAGAACAACTTCTCATTTGAGGACAGGGGCTTGTGTGTTATTTTTTCACCAAAGAGTCTGAATGCTTGGCACAGGGCAAGTGTTCAGTTAATGGCTGTTGATAGAGTGAATAATGAATGGTAATGAACTTATCTGGGGTGTCAGTCTTTGTCTGACATCTGCCCTCCCCCTGGAGCTATGGGCTCCATCAGGCAGGATCCTGGTGGCCTTGCTCCCTCTCAGCTCCCCCATTCTAGCCCAGCCCAGGAGTAGACTTGCCGGACACAGACAAAGGGAGGGGAAAACACCTAAGCCCCAAAGCCTTCCAGTTGGAACAGAAGATGGTGCAAAAAGCCATTCTCCACCATCACCGATGGGTTTCCATCTCTGATGAAGTTATGGGGCTGTCAGAAAAGTGATGCATTTTGGGGCCGGCAGGTGGCGTGGTGGTTAAGGGTGCTGGACTCCCACATGGCTGACCATGGTTCGAGTCCCAGACCTGGCAGCTTGCTTTCTCTCTCTCTCTCTGTCCCTCTCTGGTCAAATTAAAATAAATAAATAAAGCAAAATAAAAATAGTTTTTTAAAAAAAAGTGATGCATTTTTGCACAGGAAAACAAAGAAAAAATATGTCATGACTTTTCCGACAACCCAGCAGTTTGAGAGAACCATCATTCTCACTTGAATGTGTGTGCTGGTTTCCTGGTCTGGGAGGTCTGAGACCTCAGGGTAGATGCTGGATCTGGCAAGAAGACAGCAATGCCAGCCACCACCTCTCAGACAACCAGTGTGCCCTGCGCCGCGCCGAGGGTGACACACTGAATCCTCACACCAAGCAGACCATGAGACGAGGCTCAGAAAGGTCGTGGAAGTTCCCTAAGGTCGCACAGCTCTTAAGTGGAAGAGTGAAAGCAAGGACTCAGAGTCCAGATTTATATTCAATATCGGGACCAGCAGGTGGCGTGGTGGTTAAGGGCGCTGAATTCCCACATGGCCAAGCGCAGTTCAAGTATTGGACCTGGCAGCTTGCTCTCTCACTTTCTCTCTCTCTTTCTCTCTCTGCCTGGATCAAACTAAATAATAATAATAATAATAATAATAATAAAGTTAAGTAAAATATTTTTTAAAAATATTTATATTTGATATTCAGCCACTAGGTAGCTCTCAACGCCCTCTCTCCTGCCACTGCAAAAGAAGAAAACAAAACCCAAGGCCGAGTGGTGTCAGGTGGGCATCCCAGTTACCTGTAGGCAGTGGTCCTGAGGGTTCATGAGAGTCCCTCGCGGGTCCTCAGGCTCCGAGGAGCTTGACCATCCTGGTGTAGAAGTCCTCACTGCCAGCAAACCCCACCAGTGTCCCCCAAAAGTCCTTCGCTTTGTGTTTGAGCATCTGGCTCACCGAGAGCAGCTGCCCCACGTTCACATCTGAGAACTGCTCTTGGCACTTACCCTTAACCCCTGTGCTTTCCTATATTTGAAAGAAAGGCAGAGGTGGGCACCTCAACGGGGTCTCCATGGTGCAATCTACCCCCAGTCTCAGCCAGCTCAAGTCACGGGCACACATGTGCCCAGTGAGCGCGGAGAGGGCCCGGGAATGAAAGCTGTGGGATCCATGTGGTGACCACTGTGCGTCCCCTCAGCCCGTGCTCAGGTGGCAGTGCTCCCAGCAGGGGTAAGTGGTCCCACTCTGTCCCCTCTCCCCATCCTTCAGGCTCCCAGCTTCTTTCCTCTTATGCTGTGTGAGGGGAACACATAAGCTCAAGGAGGTGCTAACCGCTGGTTCTGCACAGCTCCTGCAGCCCCCCGAGAGCCCCTGCCAGGATCAGGGCAGTGGCCTTAGGAGAGGGCCAGTATTGAGAACCATAAATCAAAAAGGATCATAACCCAATCTCAAATGATCACAGCAGCTCGGAGTGCCCTGCGTTTCTTCAAGGGTTACAACAGCCAGCAACGATTACCCTCGTCACCACCATCACTCTGATTGCGAATAACACGGTTTATCCCCTTGGCCAATTGAGGTGCCACTACAATACAATGTAGGTTCTAGGTCATTATTTAATAAAAGCAATAGAGATAATAATGATAATAACAGCAAATAAGCCTTCAGCTAGGAGCCAAAGAAAACGTCCACAGATTTTTACCTCTTGAAGACTTTAGTATGAATTCAGCCCCTATTATGCACCCGGCATTGGGCATAGGCTTGACTTATTTTTCACAGGTTATTAATCGACTCTCCACAATAACCCTTCGAGGTGGGTATTATTATCTCTGATTTGCAAGCTGAGGAAATTGAGGCTCAAAAGATTAAGAAACTTGCACAAGATCCTGGTGGAGTGGTGGAGCCGGATGGGAACAGGTCTGTCTGACTCCAGGCTCTGAGCTGTAATCAGTCAATCAGGGCAGAAAAGGTGAGGATGAAGCTTTGGAGCAGAGGTGAGGCTGGCAGGAGGCCCTGGACCTTGAAGGAGGCACTTGGGGAGAAGCCCCTGATGTGAGGATGTGAGTTCTTTGTCAGAAAAGCTATCAGTGGGGGTCCCCCCAGGAAGCCAGAGGACAGCCAGACAGAGGGGCAGAGAGCAATGCAGAGAGAATGGGGAAGACCGAGCGTACACAGTAGAAAATAAACATCCAGCGTTCCAGCTGCACGTATGCAGGGAGGAACTTGCTTCAGAAGTCACTTTGTTGTTGGGGCCTTCTGAGAGGAGAGGCAGGAGTGATCTGGCTGCAGACCCTGATCGACTGGACATAACCGAGTCTTTTCAGTGACTGCCTGATTGATTCGGTGGGAAAATGCATAAACACGAAGGCAACCAAGGGGCCAGGAAAGTCAGCGGGAAGGAAAGGAAGCAGAATGAGGCAGAGGGAGCGAGCGATGCGGACTCCCAGGGTGGACACGGACGAGGTCCGAACATGGCCCAGGGGGACTGGAAGATCAGAGTAGGGAACGCAGACCAGACGGGTGACAGCGGGAGAAGAGCCCCTTAGACACACAGCCACAGCGGTCTTAGGGGTGGGGGGCGATATTTTACGCTTGTTATCTTCGAACAAACTGCGCATTCCCCAGCCCTCTGCCAAATCCCCAATCTGATTAGAAGCCTCTGGTCTCTCTTCTTGATCTCAGCCCCAAGAGGAGAGTGGTTAGTCCTGAGACCTCTGTTAATACTATTAGTTAAAGCTGCTTAGGTAGGAGAGCAAGAGGGGCTGGGGGTCTGGGAAGGACAAAGCCAGCCACCTTCGCCCTTGGGGAACCTGGGGAGGGGCAGGAATAGGTGCCTCTCCTTCAACTCCCCATTTTCCCTTCTCTTCTCCCCTGACCAAGGGACACGCTGGCAGAGACCCCAAGAGCATCTTCTCTCTCCCTGACTGGGGGAGGGGGCTTTCTTGATGCTGGGTGCTGGGAATCCTGCTGGTTGAACCCCGCCCCTTCTGGTCGCCTAAACACTTCCTCCAGCCCCCAACCTAGGAGAGCCTCTCCAACAGGACTGGCACTGGCCCCACTACTCCCCCCTCCCCAGCCCGGAGCCCCTGTCCAGGCTCTTCCGGACTGCTCCTGCTGCCCAGCCCCCTCACCCGGTCTCAGATCTCTGCCCACCCTCTCTGCTTGGCCCCCACCTCTTGCAGTCACCTTCCACTCTTCTCTGGGGTCCCTGGGGGCCATGGTATTTAAAAGGTTTGTGTGAGTCTGAGGAGCAGAAATCCAAACCCAGACACCACCATACTCCACCCCCAGACCTGTCCTCATGCTGGGCAGCTGAAGGTCAGGGAAAGACACACCCTCGCACAGCAGCAGGGACCACGGGTTAGGGGTGGGGGATGGGGTGTCTGAGACCAGCTTCTGGCTCTGCACCCCTCCTCGGTCCCTCCAGCTCCTGCAGGTCTCTGTTTCAGTCTGAACTTTTGCTTTTTTCTTCTTTTAGGTTTTTGCCACTCACCAGAGAGAGAGAGAAGAGAGAAAGGGAGAGATCACAACCTGGGGGGATGACCACACCACAATCTCTTCTCTTTCATGTTCCTCTCAGGATTTGGGGCACACACACACACGTGCCCAGTGTGATCCTGAAGTTGCCTGATCTGGGACTCAAACTGTGGTTGACCATGTGGGAGTCCAGCGTCTTAGCCACCACGACACCTGCTGGCTCCCAGTCTGAACTTGTTATCTTTCTCCGGTTCACTTACTCCTTCCTTACCGTCCTCTCCTCTCGTCCTTCTTCCTTCATCTCCGCACCTCTCCACCCCCACTGTCTTGGTGGCACTTCCCCTGCTGTCATTGTCATCCCTTGGCTCATTTTCCCATTCCTCTCTCTCCCCTGCTGCCTTTCTCAGCTCCCCTCCTTGGCCTCTCCAGCTCTGCCCCTGCTTTTTGTGCCTGCAGGTCACAAGTCCTCCCTCTGTGGCCATCCCTATTGGTCTCCTGTCCCCTGTCTGCGTCTTCCAGTGCCGTCTCTGCCTCCCCACTCCCAGCCCAGCCCGGGCCTCCATGGCTGCTCCTCACTGTCACTTTCTGTTTTCTTGCCTCTCTTGCTGTCCTTCCTCCCTTCCCATGCCTCTGAG